GAGGTTGTATGATACCTATAGAAATATTTACACCTCTCGTCACTATAGAAAGGCTGAGACGCTTGCTTTGAAGCATGGCCTGTCGCCCGATGAGGCAAAGGCGAGGGGAAGAGCAGCCGGGAAGATCGCCAGCGCAAAGTGGGACGCTTTCAAGAGCTAAGGAACGGATGTTGACTAGGGAGTAGATTATGTGTAGCAAAGTTAATCTTAGCATCAATGTCTGTTTTGGAAACAAACCTGTTGTTTACAATGGTCACAACGGGCCAAGGTTTCTGGCGTAGGTTGCTGTGTGATCACAATGGTGCTGCTGTGGGGAAAATACGACGCTGCTTAATTTCATTTCAATGGAGTTAGATTTCCAGCTGTTACTTGTGAGAATCTAACATAATGCAAAATCATGGAAAGATTTTATAGGATACTTGTGAGGCGAGACTTCAAATCTACTTGTGGTTCTTTAGGCTACTTGTGAGATCGCAACATTACCTGTGCTACTTTAAGAACATTTGTGAGACTTCCAATCTACTTGCGGTACTTTAGGATACCTTTGTACCTTCACAACATTCTTGATGGTAATTTAAAAACTACTTGTGAGAGCCATAAGTTCCTTATACAGTTTTTCAAATGCGTGTGAGACTTCAACATTACTTGTGGTACTTTGAGACACTTCTGAGATGTCAACATTACATGTGGTACTTTGGAATTTTTGTGACACTTCAATACAACTTGTCGTCTTCTTGATACTTGTGAGACTTCAACAATATTTGTCTTTTTGAATTTGAAATATTGCCAGGCTTGTGTAATACTTGTGCGACTTCAGGACATTTGTGGGAATGAAAAATTTCTGCTCACAAGGAAACTTCAAAGGGACTTAGGAATGACTTTGATGGCAGATAAAGGGTTTGTAAGATGAATACTATTACTATACATGTTTGTGTATGTTTCCCGTGTATTTCAGTCATAATTGTCCACTGCATGATTGCATTGTTTCATTCTTTCCAAATATGTGATGTTCTACAAAAGTTTCCCTTTTTTGCATTGTTTTTCCTCGCCAACAAGATAGCCATGGTGGAACCACGAGCAATCTTGAAAAACTTGCGGTACTGGGTGACAAAGTATGAGCCTTTGTCTGCCCTTATGTTTTCTACTTTTTTAAAATATTAAGATGAAGGTTTTAAAAAAAAATAGCTCTCTGATTTGCCCAGGAAATTCGCACCATGCTGGAGAGACGAGGAGTTCCTGGCTGCTACGATATCATGATCACTAGAAAGGATCGCTTGACTACTCCAAGGTTCTGTTGTGCATTTTTGGAGTTTGAAGATGCACCTGAGCACGCAATTATTGTTTTTTTTTTTGGCGGCATCCTCCTTTAATCATTCCAGAGGAAATAGATGATGTTTTTGTTTAAGCTACTTGTTTTTGGTTTCATTCATCCTCAGAGGTTCCGCAAACACAGCACTGCATACAAACTTTGGATGGACTCTTCGACTCTGGTGTTTGCCTTGGGTATCTTGGAGAACATAAAGATCGAAAAGGAATTTACCTGGGAAATTTTGGTTTCAATATTAAATCATTACTTGTGACTTTTGGTTTTAAAGGGTTCTTTGTTCTTTAGCATTTACTTGAGATTGCAGGCTTCAAGGCCTTAGCTGTCAACTGGCTAACCCACGTACGGGGTGGGCTCATCTACCTGTGGCAACACCTATGGCAGCACCTGTGGCAGTAGATGGTGTACCTGTGGGACCAAAGCCTCCATCCACACCACCACCATGGCATCTTCGAGGTGGAGGCGCCCTTTTGCCAAAAGCGAGCACTACCTCGAAAGCAGCTAGTCTAGCTCCAGTTTCTGCCACAAATGTGGTTCCTAAGACTCCTCCCAAAGTTGCAGGGCCACCTCCAGTTGGTCCACCTCCAGTTCCCTCCAGGTCTTCAGCTCCTACAACCAAATTTGCAGGTCTGAGCTCACCTCCTTCAAGTGCTTCAGGTTCGAAAGCTTCAGACGCCGTTTCTTCTGCAGCTCCAGTTGTTTCCAAACCAGGACCTTTGTTGTCTGAGCCTTGCAACGCTGGGCCTCAAGCTCCCATAGTTGCAAAGACAGAATCTGTTCTATAACATCATATCTCTTTGTCAAACCATTTGTTTTTATCAAAAATGTAAAACAACACCTGCAGGAAAACGCAGATTTGGATTTCTTCGGCATGGATGATGCTGCCTTAGCAGAATGTTTGCAGCTTGAGACCTATGAGTTTGACTTCAAAACCTTGAATGAACTTTGTCACCAAGTTTCTGAAGAAGAAATCTATGGAGCAGATATTGCAACCGGTACGAGTGCGTCGACAGGAGGCAAGGACATAGTTTTGGATACAGCTGGTGAAGCAACCGTTTTGCATCAAGGACATGATGCAGTAGAAGAATACACAAAGGATGCCAGTGAAAAAGAAAAAGTTGAAGAAGACAAACATCAAGAGATGCCTTCGAGTAGTGCCAAGCATAGACGAAAGAAAAAACGAAGGAAGAGAAGAAGATCCACTTCAACAGACACAAGTGAGATGAGAAGGACTGTAAATCTTAAAAAACAATTGCATTTTCATATGAAGAGTTTTTTTCCATACATTTCACATAGGCTTCAAATATATATATATATCGATGTCTTGAAGTTTACTATCAGCATAGTCACTCAACCGGTTTCTCTCTGACTTGATATGTTTCCTTTCCATGCTCATTGGCCAGGACTGTCACCACTCTTCTGAAACGCATGGAGAGGAGGAAAGAGAGGAAAGAAAGAAAGGACGCCTGAGAAGTGTCACCTGCATGTGGGAAAAAAATGATGATGTTTTGGGAGGCATGCTTTGTGGTACTTGTGGAGAACAGTTTCTACACTTGAATTTACTTGAGAGTGTATTGAATGTACCTGTGATGCTGATGCTTCATGGACTTTACTTGTGAAGAGGTTGAGTCTACATGTGGACTTCTTGAAATACATGTGAGACATGAGATTAAGCAAGCCTGATATACATGTGAACTCTTATTCAATAATGTTGTAAATTTTGGAATGCTTGAGTTGAGACAATGTTTATATCTTTCTGCAATTGATTGATGTATTCATGATACTTGAGAAAATTAATTTAGATATAAATGATACAGTAATGGATTGATTATTGATTTCCTTTTTAGTAAACCATTGCAATATTAAGCAATTCTGATTAATTTACATTTGCAACTCATGTATTTACATATAGTTTACATGATTTTTTAATGCATTTCTTCTGGATTTGTTTTAAATTTCTTATACATTTCTTATACATTTTAATGCATTTTTTATGCATTTCTTATGCATTTCTTATGCACTTCTTATGCAATTCTTATGCACTTTTCAAAAGTGCATAAGAAGTACATGTACTTTTATATAAAGTGCATGTACTTCTTATGCACTTTTTATGCACTTTTATGAAGTGCATAAGAAGTGCATAAGAAATGCATAAGAAATGCAAAAGAAATTCATTAATAAATATATAGTAACATTTTTTCCTTCTACAAGGACATGAAACAATTGAACAAGTAATACATATGAACTATATAAGTAACTACATAATATTAACTAACCAAACCTACTTAAAAGATAGTTACAATGTATGCTCAACATCAAATGATCTTTGGCATGCAGAAACAAACATTGAAACAAATTGATTATTCCTAAGTTGCCACATTTGGTCATGGACCAAGGTAGATTTGATTTTGTTTTGTTCCTATTTTTTTGGAGTTTTTTCTTGTCTATAAATTTAATCATGAAAAACAAAATATGGTTTGAACCATGACACATGGACAAGGGTAATGCACCATCGTCATCCTGAGGCTGGTCAGTAACCTGGAGAGGCTTCCAAAATTAAGGCAACCTTAGTTGGTTTCTGGTTTCTGGGGAGTTTACTTAGTTGGTTTACTTCCCTATAGGGGAACCTTAGATTTATTTTTTACAGATAAGTCAAAAAAAATACTCAGATAGTATCACAAATAGTCACAAGTAAGAGAAACACAGGAGAAACTATGTTTCTATCTATATATTGTTCCATGAATAGATTGAGAAGGCCAGAGGTGAAAAAAAAATCTGTCTGGCAATTTTATTCGCTTTATTATATTCAACAGTGGTTACATGCTCAGGAAAATCTCAAGTAGAACAAATGCAACAACCATGCTGCAAGCAAAACACCAGGCCAGTAACAATGTTTGTGAAACTAAGAAAAAATATACCGCAAGTACTCCTCAAGTAACATTTTCAAAGATATAGATGTGAAATTGTTTGAACAATGTCAGTTTTTCATTTTCTTGTTGTTTGTATTATATCATACATGATACTTTCACAAGTGCAAATTGTTCTTTATGGTTGAGCTAAGAAATTATAAGTCAGCAACCTGTGAAATTTTCATCACAATATAAGATTTGAAACATCACTATTATCTGGCAACTTTGCCATATTCAACGATTTTCTTTCAATATCGTTGTTTCTGTGTTCTTCATCCCAAAAAGAATCTTCTGAATGCTCAGGAAAAATATGTATGTACAATTCATATGGATATGTCTCAACATGATGTGTCCTTTTTCGGTTCCTAACTTGTCACTTTAAAGGGGAAAAAACACATCATTTTGAGACATCATCATTTGTAGACATTATTTTTGCGGTTAAAGCTACGCAGTTATACATTCACATGTGGAATTTACTTGTGATGTTAACATTTCAAAATAATACTTACATGTGAAATTTACTTGTGATATTGAAACTTACATGACATACAAAAACACTTACATGTGAAAATTACATGTGTGGTTCAAACTAGACAATGACATTTACATGTGGAAATAATTTGTGATGTTAATATCAAACAATGACTAGAAGGTGGCAAATGCATAAAACATGTGATGATTTGCCTTCACCTTTTTCGTATCTCAGTAAACATCTCTGGCTGTAGAAACAAGAGTGACTTAAGTCGGTTTCGTGAGACTTCTTCGCCATGTCGGACAACGTTGTTGACAAAACACCTGAGAAGGCTACCCCTGGCTCCCTTGAAGGCACTCCTCCACCAGCCTCCCCCCCCCCATCGACACCTCGGAAGAAGCCAGCTGCAGCTGGCAAGGCTTTGGCAAAGAGCAAGGCAAAGAGCAGCAGTAAGGCTAAGGCGTCACCAAAGAAGCCAAACCCCAAGGCCAAAAGTGCAGGAAAGACCGTCATGAAGAAACTAAAGAGGCCTGCCGCAGCAACCCCCCCACCGAAAGGAAAGGGTACAGGCAAAGGAGAGAAAGGAGACAAAGGAGACAAAGGAAGCAATCAGGTGATGAAGAAGCCTGCGCAACAAGGTTCCAAAGACTTTAAGACATGGCAAACAGGTCTCGAAGTCAAGGCCGTGGAGGACATGACCCAGGATCAAGAAGAGGCAGAGGAAGAGAAAGACTTCGAAGACGACAAGGAGGTTGACTTTGCAATCAGACCAGCCTCAGAGAAGACAGACCGAAGCAAGAAACAAAAGTTTCTGCAATTGGTGTCAGCTGGCAGTCTGCCAAGCTACTTGATCAACGAGTGGAACAAGACTCTGAAAATGAAAGCTGGTCGAACAGAGTTGCAGCGAACCATCATCAACTCAGCCTTTGACCGCACTGAGTGTGGCAAACTCTTGCTCTCTTTGGCGAAGCCGGTCTTCCAGCAGATGCGCGACAGCTACACAGACAGGAGCAGCTCGGACACAACCAAGACGCTTCCGCGCTCCTTGTTCCAAGGAAAGTTCTCCATGGATGACACCGTGTTTGCGCGCGGCTTGGCCGCAGGCGACTTCATAGAAGTGCAGACAGCAGATGGTAAGACAGCATACCAATGGGCCAGCTCAGAACACCGAGTCGTCAGAGGAGACCGCTCGAGTCACGGCTACAAGGCAGAGATTGAGGGCACCCAAGAAGATGCGGCAAAGTTCGAAAGTGTTGGGTGGAAGAAAGGTTTGTTCATCCCCAAGGGTGACAGCTCCTCCAGTCACGCAATCAGCGATGCCCAGCAGCCTCTCCCACTTTGTGATGGATCTGCAGCCCCAGAAAATGCTTTGACACAGGCACAGTGGGAGACAGCGCAATCGCAATTGCGTCCGGCAATTGACGCGTTCGAGCAGCAGCACAAGACTGGCCTCAAGATGTTGCAGCTCATTGGCTGGGATCGCTTCGACGATGAGCTCCTGGCGAAAGTGTTTCTTGGCTGCACCTAAGTGGACTTTAGCTCTGATGTTCTTCCATACATGTGATAGCTACTTGTGTGCAAATTAAACCTTCAGGATACTTGTGGGCCAGGATTGGCTTGTTGTACTTGTGGCATGTCTTAAAACTTCTTCATATCTAAATGCTTTCTACTTGTGATCTATATGGTACTTAATAATATTGACAAAGCTTTTTCCTTTTCCACCAATCTCACCGACCTTCTAGGAAGGAGTTGATGAAAAAGATCCAGAAGGCAAAGAACGAGCTATCGCACATCTACCACTTCAAAGAGCTGCCAGATGAGGAAGGTGTTCTCACGGTGAAGAGCTACAACGCCCAAATGCTTGAATGTGGCCCAAAGTTGATGAAGACTTAGCTGGTGTCAAGGGCACCCTTGACAATCGCGCCAAAAGAGCCAAGAAAGAAATGAACAGCTAGGCCAAGCTGCGATCCTTCTTGCAAAGGCTCCACTATGTGTATCTATTTCATGACGTACTTATGTGGTTAGCAAGACATTCATGACATCTGAAAGTTGAATGTGGTACAAATGTTGACATTTTGTGGACTTGTGAAAGGATCGAAGCCGAGAGTCCTGTAGATCTGACTGTCCAGACATGCGGCCTCATAATTTTGTTTCAAGATTTCTCTGCGGTCTGCAGCGTGAAAAGGTGTGTGCGATGCGCAGTTTGCTTCTACTTGTGGGAAACCATTTCTTCCTTACATGTGTAAAAGAAACAGTGTACTTGTGTGACTTGATGGGTGGTAGTTGTTTACTATCAGTTAGCTATAGGCATAATTTTGCTTTGGAGATGTTGTACATGTGAAAAGAACTTGTGGAATAGCAATGAAAGCATCTTCTTTTCCACCATGAATGTGAACAGCCTTTTACACTCCATCACTGATAACACTATTGTTTTCCTCAGTTTCACTCTTCTCTCGCCGTCACCCTGCACCATGGATGCACATGTCCCACACATGAAGAAAAGAAAGCGTGGACAATTGCAAAGGCAACAGTGTATTGGAGAAGAAATGACTCATGAACAGCTCATGAAAGTGCTTTGTATGGACTACTCATGCTCTGGTTTGCACAAGGTGTTCTGAGCGGTGCAAAAGTTCATAGCTTGGCCTTAGCTGCACAAATTGATATTGACAAAGCAGCAGATGGATACCAGGTCACCAAGATCAGAGAGGTCTCGAAGTTAAAGTATGCCAGAAACTTGGATCGTAGCATTGCTGGATTGATGGCCAAGGAAGCAGATCTACCTCGCCCCTTTGAAGTAAGCATCCCTATGAAAGGCCAAGTAGATCAGGTGCCATCGGCAGCCATACTTCTGCCACACGAAATGTTTGCTGCATTCTACGAAAAGACCGCTTCGTGGACATCAAGCGTGCTCCCCGATTCATCCAGTATCGAAAAAATTTGGTCAGCCTTCCAGCACCACCCCATGATGGCTGGGCATCCAATCAAGGAAAAGCCAAATTGGCATTCCACAACTGTACCAATTGGCCTACATGGCGATGAAGTACCTGTGATGGGTGTAGGGAAAATTTGGTGTAGATCAGTTTTGGCATTTTCCTGGTTTAGTCTGTTAGCTTCAGCAGCGGGGCAAGGTTTTGAAAGAACCAACATAGTAATCTGGGGTGTCTTCGAAAAATTTTGTCTTCCTGATGGACACGATGGTGAAAATTCATTTGGAACTATGCAAATCGTTTGGAAACTAACGCAGTGGAGCTTTGACATCATGATGAGCGGGAAATGGCCCCACCACGACTGGCGCGGAGTGCCTTACCCTCGTCAGTCGCCTGAGGGTCAGCGTGCAGGTTCTTGGCTCGCAGGCGGATACAGGGGGGCACTTGTTCAGGTGGCAGGCGATTGCGATTTTTTTAGTAAGTGGCTGCAGACGCCTCAGGTCACAAACCATCAGAAACCTTGCGTACTGTGTAAATGCAGCTACAGAGGACCTTGCTCATGGCTGGATAACAGGCCCAACTCTTTGTGGCAAAGAAGCATGGTGTCACCTTCCAATTACAGAAGACATTGGTCCCCACAGATAGCATTATACAAATTGCCTGGTTTCAGCAGCCTCGCACTGGCGATGGATTGGATGCATTGCATGTATCTTGGCTGGCTGCAGCACGTATATGGGTCAATTCTACACCTCTTAGTCTTTTTCATTTTGCCCAACTCGCCTCTAGACAATTTGCTTGCTATTGGAGACTTTATCAAGCAATTTCAGCGCAGCAACAATGTGAAGAATCGCTACCGAATGCGTCTCGACAAACTTACTATGGTGCAGCCAAAGAAGGGGTACCCCAAGCTACGCGGACGCGCAGCGGACATATCTGGACTATATTCCACCATGGTTGAACTTTGGAATACACATATGGACACTGCTGATGAACGCCACCGACAAATTCGCCTTTTCCTCAAACTCAATTCAAAGCTGGTTGACATACTTGATAGCTTCAGTCCCAGGTATGGGTACATGGCTATTCCAGCTTCCCAACATGAAGAGCTATTGAATGCTGGACTCAACATGGCACAAATTCACAGTCAATTACATGCGTACTATGAAAGCCAAGATATCAACATTTTTAATCAAACAAGCAAAACACATTTTTCTTTGCATTCTCTGCAGCTCAGCTGCTACGTGCATCCCTATTTAGTTTATTGTTTTAAAGGCGAAAGCACCATGCACCGTGTGCAGACCTTGTGGAAAAGCTGCCTCCACGGATCGAAGCATTGGCAAGCTGCCAAAAAGGCAGCGTACAAAGAAAGACATTTGCTTTGGAGGCAGAATCGAATTTGAGCTTGGAAGCAAAAGAATGCTGCATTACTTGTGACAACCATTTACTTGCGCAAGATAAAACACAATCAAAGCAAGCAAATTTCTACTTGTGTCACATGAAAACAATACAAAAACAAATGGAAAAATATATTTCTTTCCGACATGGTCAACATGGTCCGAAAAAAAAAGGTATGCACTTTATATGCGTTTCTTATGTGTTTCTTATGCGTCTCTATTTTTTTCAAAAAAATTACTTGGCTAGTAAATTAATTTACTTTACTAGGCAAAAGTAAATTTTACTAGTAAAAAATCCAAGTAAAGTAAAACATCAAAAAGACTAAAATCACTAGATTTCGAGACTCAGGGCTACGACTACGACTACTACGACTACGACTACCACCACCACCACCACCACCACAGCTACAACTACAATTACTGCTACACTACATTACACTACAATACGCTAATTAAAGTGCAGTACATTACAGCTACAAATACAACTACAACTACACTACATTCCACAACACAACACTACACTAATTGCATTGCATTACACTACAACTGCAACTACCACTACATTGCACTACACTACACGACACTACACTACAACTACAACTACAACTACACTACTGACTGCTTTACACTACAATACACTAGGCTACACTACACTATACCAACGCTACAGTACACAATACTACAGTACACTAGAATACACTACACTAATTACACCACACCACAACTACAACTGCAACTGCAACTACACTACACTATATAATTACACCACTGTACAACTACTAGTACAACTTAAACCCACAACCCCACTACACTACAACTACAACTACACCTACAACTACAACTGCACTACACCACACTACATCCAGCAGTTGTGGTGAGGTGAGAACTGCAACCATTGCAGCCACTCCAGAAAGCACAGCTCCAACCACCTGTCGGTCCATCAGTGGATTCGCTCTGCCATCCGTGATTCACAACAACTAACCTCTCCTATAGGTTTACTATTTTTGAAACTTCCGCCACCGCCTTGTGCGGTACTACTGGTAGATTAATATATATATATATATGTGTGTAACATACACAAAAAGCAGAACATTCTCAATATCCATATAGTATATAATGTATGTACAGAAAACAGAAAAATGGCAATAGGACAATATAGAACACACAAAAAACCTCCACGTTCAGTTTGTTTGCATACTTTGAAGAAACAACTGCAAAACCGTCGGGCTTATCAATTGGGTAAGGCACACTTGCATTCGTTATCGGCCAACTCCCAAATCTACACCGCTTGCGTGTATTGTTTTTTTGCGGCCGCCTGTTGTGTGTACTGTGGCCTGCGCCGCAAATTGACAATTGTGCGGCCTCTGGAATCAAACGCGAAAAGCCAAACAAATCGAGTCAATATGATGAATTTCTGAACAACGGTTTTGACCGGTCTGAAGGATCTGGCCACCTAGTTATCCGGTGCCCGGGCGGCAATTATATAAAGAAAGTGATGCTCTTCTTGTTCCGGCCATGGAAAAACACACACATGATCAGAACAGCCTCTCGGGTTGCGAAATTGGAACGCATCTTACATGCAAAAACAATTCAGTAAACCTGTCAGGACGAGAAAGTGGAGTTCGAACAGAAGTTCGCATGTCTACCATATTGTATCCATTGTACCATGTAGAAATCCCAAAAGAATTGAAGTTGACCCTTCCCTTTCCTGGAACAATGGATCAAAATTCAAAAATGTAGATTGCGACAATCGTACCTCCAAATCGACAGGCAGGTTCTGGGCTTATCTGGTCGCCTTTTTCAGAACAAATACAGCGATGAAGACAACCAAAAAGTTGGAGTTCAATGAGTGGAAATAATTTTGCAGGTATGTCACGCTGATCAGCCATGATATCCGCATGTACGAGTACTGCGGCCGCTTCGTATAGGACATTCGCTCACAACACATGGATGATCACTCTGCTATATAACACATGTTGACATTGAAATGTGCTTCGCGCCACAACGGCGTGCAATTTTTCGACATCGCAACTTCCAAAAGTGCTCCGAGCACCAGGTGCTTTGTGCATTTTGACTTCGAAATGTGCTTCGCGCCACAACGGCGTGCAATTTTTCGACATCGCAACTTCCAAAAGTGGTCCGAGCATGGTGTGCTTTGTACATTTTGACTTCCAAATGTGCTTCGCACCACAACGGCGTGCACTTTTTCGACATCTCAACTTCCAAAAGTGATCCGAACGTGATGTGTTTTTAGCTTTTTCACTTGCAAATGTGCTTCGCGCCACAACGGCGTGCACTTTTTCGACATCTCAACTTCCAAAAGTGCTCTGCACCCGCCAGTTTTTTACACTTTTGACTTGGAAATATGCTTCGCGCCACAACGGCGTGCACTTTTTCATCTCTCATCTGGCCAGCTGGCTCCGCACCCGCCGCTTTAGCGAGCCTACTTTTTGATCCTCCGGAGCCACAAATCATGGGAAAGACACCGCGTTCCGCGACTTTCCTACCTTTTCGCGCACCTGGATCTTCTTTCTTCTCACATCCCTCACGGCTAATGTGTAGAGAGGTCACC